AAGGAAAAAAAATAAAAAAACAAAAATTATGTCTATTTTTAATAAACTTAATATATTAATTTAACAATATTTTCTTAATATTTTTATAAATATTTAATAAAATCATTTCTAATCAAGTTGATAAAGTCACAGAATTGACGAACAAAAACCATATAAAAATTCACGTGTGACCCAAACATGAGTGACAAAACAGTCAAAGTATAATATAATATAATATTTAATAAACTATCGTATAATAATCGATAAACACAAATTAACTATACCTGTGTACTTTATCAAATAATCCAATAAATCCCAATTGTATTCAAAGATGTCAATGAAAACAGCAAATTTTAATTAGAATTATTACTTTTATGATTTAATAAGAAAAATATAAAATATAAGTAACAATTGTAGAAAATCAGACAAATAAGGATAAATATAATGAGCAAAACTTACATAAACTTATAAATAAATTATATTTGATTTTACAATTTAAATGTTTCGGCCACATTTGGCCATACACATCCTCAGCGAAGTACTAAAAAAGTATTAAAAAAAAATCTTCATATTCCCGTCTACCAGACAAATCCCCACTCAACTGCATAATTTTATTTCGTCGTGATTCAATGCCCATAATTCACAGAAATTTGCAATCTGAGAAGCGTGATTTACACAGGACGACTTTTATTCGCTAGAAGCCGCTATAGTGACGTCATAACGAATTTGCTACTAAAAATTTTTTCTAGACGTGGGTTTGTTCTTATAGTTCGTATAGTCGCAGCGAATACCGCTTTCGATGCTTGTTGCTGGCTTTTCGCTGGCTTGTCGCTAGTTTATTGCTGCTCCTCCAGCGAATTTTTAAGTCATTAGCGTGAAAAGACAAATTTTTCCGAAATGCCTCGGCCACTTAGACCATAAGCATCAGAGACCATAATCATCGAATAAGCTGCTATTGTGCTTTGTGAACTATTTGCCTGATCATTAGCGAGTACTTAACGCTGTGACTTCAAAATTTTAGTCGCTAGTAAATAAAAAGCGTATACAAGAAGCTTTCTTCAGCGAATTCGCGGACGAATTAAGAAGCTTACTTCAAGTGAATAGCAGCAGAGTCGAGAGAATTCGCTGGCGAATTATTGACGTCACTAGACGTGGCTTCTAGCGAATAAAAGTCCCATGTAAATCACACTCAAAAAATATTAAAAATTAAAATGTGGAATAATGCCAGTCAAAGTAGAAAGTCTCACCTGAAACACAAGACTAAAATACGTGAACATTAAAATTTAATAATAAATAATATCTACATATGATTAAAACAGTGTCTGATTGAAATTTAGACTGTTTGTAATTTAATAAATTCGGACGTCAGATGTTTACTCAAAAATCTTTCAGAGAAATTTTCACATTCGACCAATCAAATTTATGATTCTAATATAACCTATGATCTGTGATTTCCGATTAGAAGATAGTATTTCTATTGATGTGTTCTGAAATTCTCATAATAATTTCCTCACTATTTGACCCATGTAAATTGCATTATAATTACTACATTTGGTATATCACATTTTTCTTCGAATTATTTGGAAACCTTTGTGAACGCCTTTGTGAACTTTAATAAATCTGCTTAATTTGTTAAAACTATAAAAAGCTAGTTTTACATTCAAATTCCATATTATATTCCTAAATTTTCAGAAACATTCTGAATATATAGAATAATAAAGGCCATGGCACACAAAAAACTTAAGACAATAAGACATAGGCAGTAAGGAAATCAACATGTTGCATTGATTATTGTTTACGTTATGATTTTATGGACTCTATCGTGATTGGTCAATTTGCTTACTGCTTACTTTAATTTAATGCTTAAGTCTTTTGTGTGTCATAATCCTAAGGATAATTTTCTTTCTCCTCCGTGACCGAATTCATATCAAAATTTTGTTTTAAAGTTTGTTTTAAAGTTTTTTTATAACAAAGAGATTTAACACTAATAGTGAAATATGAATTCAAAAAAGTAGACATTATTTAATTACTTTTCACTAATAAAATTAATATTTTTGTTATTTGTGGAATTTCAGATGTGACAAAAAAAAGACTCTGTCAATCATTCTAACTTCTCTTTTTTGTTAAACCGAAGCGAAGACATAAAATTTAGATATTTCTTTGAGAAAGTTGATTTATGAAATCAATTAAATTTTAGGATATTGTTAATAATATTAATGTTCAAAAAATTTAAAACACTTCCGATTAACCAATTAAATTAAAGTCTTGGGAGAAACGAGTTAAATATATTAAGAATCTCGGATATATTAGAAAGAACAGTTGTAATAATATTGTTTACGATATCTGACATGTAATGAAAATAAAAATCTCAACATTTTAAGAGCTCTTGCAAAACTGAGTCAGCAATCTCTGAAGATAAGGAAAAACATATTAGCAAATAAAAAAAATTTGCTTGTATGTATTAATATCAAACTAAAAAAATGTCGAGTTTAGAACGAGTCGAAGAATAGTAATAAATTCTTTTGATAAATTGCAACCCTTAGAAATGTCCCACTATCTACTAGAAATACTTTCCAATGCTAACTCAATCACAATTGTGAAGAGATAAGAGATTAAAATGTAATTTATGATATGTGTATCAGATAATAGTAATGATACTTTATCATATGATATCGCACTGAGAAAAATTCTGGAAAACTTCACAAACGCAAGATTTATATCTTTGTTGTAACTACTTTAGGAACATATATAAACCTTTGAATGTATCTATTCGCTTCAATATCAAGCAACAAATCTGCAAAGATGCGTGCGTTCGCTTGTCTTATATTTGTCGCTCTGGCATACGCTACTGAAGGTATGAATTTATCAGGAAAGAATTACTTTTCTGTTACTTTTATTGTTACATTTTACAATAACAATTTTTCATAATGAAGTTGCAATTTTTTATAACTATAATAATGACTAACTAAAGTTAAAGTTATGCTAAGAAAAGTCACTTCGAAAAATAAATTTTCCATTAGGCATTACTTACTAGAACTTTATTACTTATTATTGAAAAAAATAACAAATGACTAGCAATGCCGTAAAGTTACTCCGTTACAAATCACATTAAAAAGAACGAGTTACAAATTGTGAGTTATCTTATTCAGTGACAAATGACATTTTTTCTAATCCGTGATAAGTAACTATTAACTGTTTCAACTCTGGTGTTACATAGGTCTGTTTTTTATTTCTCTGCACATAATACAATAAGTTGAAGTGAAATAAATATATGTTTGTTTCATGCTTTAACTTATTACACTATATATGCCAATTCAGAGAGTGCAGGAATAAAAAACAGATCTGTGTATAATAACACCATTATTATCAACATAAAACCATTCACAACGTTATTACCAAATCATTAAGATATCAACAAAGCAACTAAATAACTAATATTAAATAACGGTTACCATAATTAATTACTTTCATTCTCTGGAAATATTATTTCCATATACTTTATAAGTTATTATAATTACTTTATGACAAAGAAAATAAGAAAGAGAGAGAGATAGAGAGAGAGAGAGAGAGAGAGAGAGAGAGAGAGAGAGAGAGAATTAAACATGTTATGGAAAAAAGAGAATTAAACATGTCCGACAACAGGTGCTGGATGTAGCATCAATATATTGGTCGACATGTCGGGTGTACTATATAAATGTATTATATAAATGTAATGACTTTTCTAACAAATATATTTATAAAATATAATAGATCAATCAATTGTTTGTACAATATTTTATAAATGTAATCGATCGATCGATTACACGCGTCTGCTACAAAAGGCAATCTGACATACTGATCAATATATTGATGTAACGATCGCTACATGTATTAGCTCAATGCTGAAATTTATTTGCAATTTTCAGACGATTTTTAGTTCGGTTACCTCACTAATCTGTGCGCAATCTAAATGCCAATCGGCAATAAATTCCAGTACTGTATTAGTTATAACTTTCCAATATATTCAAAGTTTTTAATATTAATGAATATCGATTATATGTCATTTGTAGTAAATTTTATCGTATTATATGTAAAAAAAACATATATCTAAAAACATATATCTAAAAGATGTACTAGAAGATCACGAATAAATAAATTAATTAATTATAATTAATTATGTCAGCGGAAAGTATGTGTACATCTCTTTGTATTCTTTAACTATATATATGTAGTTTAATAAAAATTAATGTAAAATAAACAGTAAAGCTGTTGCTAGATATAAAAAATTTATATTCTAAATAAAACTGTAATTTCTCTAAACAACTCATTTAGTTATAAAATAAACACGATGTTTAATTGCAAAAGTTAATGTACATAAGATGTTTTCCAAGAAAAGACATAAATCAACACAGGAATTATTCTAACTTTATTCAATATTTGATGAGAGACAATCGATTTGTATCTTTTACTGGAAAATTACTGTAATAATGTAACAGATATTATGTTGCATATGTATTAATATATTTAATTTATTTTTGTTAATAAGGAGCTCCATCTCCTTCTATCATAAGTGAGGATGCTCCTATTGACATTATGGATGTAGCTCCTATTGGTAAATTTAGGTATCAAGCGTCAATAAGAGTAAACGACTCACACATATGCAGTGGATCTATTCTTGATGATTTTAACGTGTTAACATCAGCAAAATGTGTTGTTGCGTATGTTGAATATTCTGAATATTTATCAATATACATTTTTGAAATGTAAATCTAATTCGAAAGTATTAAATAGACAGTATGAAATGTGTACGTATTCAATAAGCAAACTGCCAGCAGATAAAATATCTAAATAAATCTACTAATTACAAATTGGTAGCAGATTTACTTAGATATTGCAATAAATTCAATATCATTTCAATATTCATTCAACTTATGTTTTACTGAGAGAATTTAACGATATAATCTGATAACAAATTGGAGGTTGATAGCAGAAATCGAACAGAGAGAGAAAGAGAGAAAGAGAGAGAGAGAGAGAGAGAGAGAGAGAGAGAGAGAGAGAGAGAGAAAGAGAGAATATTTTATTTCGTTAACCATTTCAATGGAATACATCATTTAAATGACAAAATGTGTTTAGTTTCTGCAATCAGCCTTCTATCATATTCTATTAGCAGTTTTTGTTATATTTCAGTTGATATTCAATTAATAAAATAACAACATAACATAACAAATGCTTTCAAAATTTGTTTTTAATAGATATGGATTTTTAATATTTTTATATATTTTTTTATTCTTAGATTGAAGTGTTCAACAGATGAAATAAAGGTCCATGTCGGCACAAACTCTTTAACCAATACAGGATATAGGCATAACGTAGAAAATATTAACATCCATCAAAATTACGATGAATTATTATGCAATAATGACATCGCCTTGATTCACCTTAGCGATCCTATCAAACAACGCAACGTGCTAGTATATCCGATAAATCTTCCAAAATCCAATAAAAATTTCGAAGGCAAGCCGTGCCTATTATCTGGATGGACAAATACAACAGTAATGTTTAATTTATGATACAAAAATTTTCCAATTATACATAATCAGGAAAGAACTCTTTCTTAAAGTAATTTTATTATTTTCTTTTTATATAAATATAACATGAAATTAGAAATAATAAGTGTAAAAAGATATTCTAACAACCATAATTCTGCTGCTGTTATTCATTGTTCGATACTCGATGTAATAAATAATAAATTATCCTTTTTAGAATGGAGACTTGCAACAAACTGAATTGACAGTTGTTAAGCAAAAAGAATGCGCGAAAAGTCACTGGGAACTGACAGAAAGCCATATCTGCGCTACAGCTCAAAACAGAACGAATGAATACAAGGTGAGTCGTCGATTATTAATATGATACAATAAATCAATTATATATATATTTTTGATATAACATCAACAGATTAATAAATGAATCTAACCATTCAATATCATTTTGTTACGTATCTATCACATAAATATTGCGTAAAAACATCTCACAGAAATAAAAATGATTATAAAATTTTTTAAATATTGATTTTTTAAATATCGCTATTAAGAACAACAATATAAAAAGCAAATGTTATATATTTATTAATAAAAAATGTTATAGCGTAGCAAAATAAAAAACTTCATGTTTCTTCTACTTTACTGCGCTATAACTTTATATTTATATTCTTATATTTATATACTTATGAAAGTAGAAATAATATTAAAAGACTCTAATTATATGTCGACTGAATTTTTGCATTTTGACATGAATTGATATATTTACATCTTCTATATATATTTATAAAAAGATATGAATCTTATAAAATAGTTTAATACTAAATAGTGATCTAATTAAATTACTTATATTTAAATGAGTATAATAAGTAATTAATTATACAATAGTTTTATATGTCATTTTATATATCAGTATTTTCATATTAATTACATTTTCATTCAAGGACGATCTTGGTGCACCTTTGATCGCTAATGGTGTTCAAATTGGAATCGTTTCCTTCGCCTGTTCCTGTACTCTTGGACAGCCAGATGTTTACACAAGAGTGCCCAGTTTCCTGTCTTGGATCAAAACAAATTTGAAGAATTAAGAGATATTTCATTTGTTTATTACCATTAGGTGTTACGAAATTTATAATTCAAAGTAACAGTAATAGTATAGTTTTTAAACAATTATTTCTGCGAAATGTATGCTTTTTTTCAATTAAATAAATTATCAATATAAACAGAACAATAATAATCATCAAAGTTGTTTTTATTCTAAGATTTATTCTCAGTCATCGCAGTTATCCGCAATAAATAATATCATTTTACTTATATTAAATTATACAAAATTGAGATAAATCTACATGATACTGTTATAAATGAGTTAGACAAATTTAATAAAGAAAAATTATTTAAAACATAAATTATTATAAATAAAAAAAAATTCAGTAAAAAAACATAAAAATAGATGATTATGTTATAAATTTCAAAAATTAAAATAGACATGACGCATAAAGTTAAATATTTATAGATAATTTACAGTAAATTGTCTTATACGAATAAGATTCCGAATTACATATTTCTCATTCGC